TTTTCCTCAAAACAATCATCTACAAATACGGTACATGGCTAGCAGAATAAACACAAAAGAAAAGCCATGACCGTACAAAAATCAAAAGTAAAAACAAATACCTATACTGATCGGACTCTGATGTGGGCTCCGAAAATTCGGCCCCGGCCTCCGCTCGCCGCTTTTTCTTTTTTATTTGAGTGAGGGAGTTTTAACGAACTAAGTTCCGAGGTAAATTTTGGAAGGCAGATGGGTTTGTAGATAAGACACTACCCAGAGATTTCGCCCTCATTTTGTGAGGACTTTATGATCTGAGTTCTGGTTTCCTATAGGCGCAAGCCCCTATAGTTAATTACCCCTCTCGATCACGAGAGAGAACTTTCGATTAAGGCTAGTCGTCAATCAGATACGTATATAAATACGTGTATCTGGCATATAGTAGCAGCAATGGATTTGGATTTTGATATTGGTAGAAATTGGATTTGGAAATTGGGTTTGGATTTGGGAATTCGGAAAGGATTTGGAGAGTTTAATATTTAAAGTAGAAATTTCACCATCTTGCACTTAAAGCTGAGGGTCGCGTTGTCACGCCGGCGGGCTACACAGGTTGGGGGAGCTTGGTCGGGAGAGTCGGCGAGAACTTAGCAGGGCAAATTGCAAGGGTCAGCTCGGATGGGTCACGTCGGCGGGCTGGTAAGGGTGGAGTTTTTCCCGGCATTTTTTTCTCCGGGAAAATTTTCCAGCTGATTTTTTTTATGGAAAATTTTTCCGTCGCGGGTTTTACCGTCGAAAATTTTTTCGACTTTCGTCGTAATTCTGCCAAAAACTTTCAAAATCCGCCGGAATATTAATAATTTTTTGCCGGAAAATCTGCAGCAATACATGATTTTCTTGTGGTGTACTTCACTACCACTACATTTTTTGCACCAAAAGTGTAGACAATGCCTATTAAGAAGGAAGCCCTGAGAGACAAAGGTCAGAGAGTGCGACCATGGCAGAACTTTAAGAGCTTGACTGAGTCAGAAATTCAGGAGAAGAGGGACAAGGATTTATGCTTTAGGTATGATGGGAAGTTTGCTCCAGGCCATTGTTGTAAGTATCGTTCGTTACAGGTCCTAATAGTCTGCAATGAGGAAAATGAGCATAGAAGGAAGATGATCACCTGTACTTAGATGTTACAGAGGTATCCCTTAACTCAGTGGTCGGGTTCAAATCGAACCACACCATGAAGTTTAAGGGAAAGATCAGGCATTATGAGGTGGTAGTACTGGTGGATAGTATAGCTACCCACAACTTCATTTCAAACAGGATAGTATATTTGTTGGGATTGAATTAGTGGACATGAGGGGAATTGGGGTTATGTGGGAACAGGAAAAGTATAGAGTAGAGGAATTTGCAAATGGGTGATCCTAATCCTTTTAGAAGTTCAAATATTAGAAGACTTTCTGCCATTGGATTTGGAGAGCACATATGTGATATTGGGAATGAAGTGGCTGCAGAAGTTGGGGAAGACCAATATTGATTGGAAGGCTCTAATGATGGATTTCAAGGTTGAGGGAAGGACAGTGGTTATTAGAAGGGATCCTAGCCTGTTTAAAACTATGGTTTCACTCAAAACCATGGTGGGTCAATCCGGGGTGAAAAGATGTATTTGAAGATTCAACCTACATATAGAAGACCTTAGCTCAAAGAAGAAACAAAAAGTTATCTCCACGGTACTATGGGCCTTACAAGGTTATGGAGAGGATTGGTGTCGTGGCGTATCATTTGCAGCTACCCCCTACTTCTACCATACACCCAATATTCAATGTGTCCCAACAGAGTAAAGTTATTTGCAACCACAATCCATCAGCTACGTTGTTGAAGACCTTGACAAAAGAAATGGAGGTGATCCAAGAGCCAATGGAAGTGAGAGAAGTTCGCTGAACAACCAAAGGAGTTAAAGAAGTTCTGATCGAGTGGAAGGATCTGCCCGATTATGAAGCAATATGGGAACCGTGTCAGATGATTCAACAACAATTTCCTTCATTCCACCTTGAGGGCAAGATGGCTCTTTGGGAGGGGAGTATTGATGGACCAACTGAGCCAGTCCAGCCAATCAACCTGGCCCCAGCAAGGGGGGTTGGTCTAGCAGGAGGGCAGAAGAACCCTATGGGCCCCACTTGTGTGGGCGGTAGGCAAGGATAGAGGCGGCTCAAAGTGGATTAATTCTACATTTAATTACTTATCATAGAAACCCAAAATTGAAAGAGGATTAGGGAGGTTTATTTATGGAAAGAGGGCTGATTTGAATTCTAATATTGGAGGGAATTAAAAAATCTTTTTTGGGAAAAAGGACTGATTTGAATTCAAATTTGGAAGAGAATTAGAAAGATTTATTTAGAGAAAGATAGTTGATTTGAATTTAGATATGGGGGGGAATTAGGATGATTTATTTAGGATTAATTAGTTGTTTTATTTTCATGATGGGATTTTGTGTTTTGTAGTAACTTTGTTTGAAGTTGTTCCTAGTGGCGTCTAGGGCTTACGGAGAGTCGATCTACCTCTCGAATAGTAGATTAACTTTTATCTTGATTTTGTTATGCCGATATCAATAAAAGTAACACATAATCTCATTCTTTCTCGCTGATTCCTCCTGTGTTTTCTCCTTATAATTGTTATTTTTTTACTATGTGGAGATTGGATTCCTAGCAATATAGTAAGAACATCCATGACCAAGGGGTTGTTTGATTTGAAGTAAAGTGGGTGTAAAGTAAACCTTTTATATGGATTTTGAAAATATTGATGTTTGGATGGATGAAAAAGTAATGTAAAGTAAAATGAATGCAATGTAAATCATTTTAGTTTATTTTTTAGATTAAGTAAACTCGTATGGTTTTGAGCAAAAAATATTTGCACAACAAGAAAACGCCACTGACCACCGTCGACAGCCGGCTCCGCTTTCTCCGGCACCATCGCTACCACCCACCACTAGCCTCTGTCACCGGCCACCACCAACCAGTTGGCCGACCACCATCACCACCACTCACTGCCACCACCGTCAATAACTGGCAGTCGGCAACCGTCACCAACGCCACCACCACCACCCACTGTCAACCACTGCTGCCACTGTCCACTGTCAACCACTGCTGACACTGTCCACAGTCGGCCACCTGCTGCCAAACACCACCGCAACTCCCGTCGAAAGCCGCCACCACCGCCACAGCCCGTCGCCCATCGCCACGATCTCCCACCACCACCACCATCATCGGACTTTATACTACATTTATTTTGCTTCAAATCAAACAAAAAAATACATTCTCCAGCATTTATATTACACTAATTCAAACAACACCAAATAATCCCTTTTACACTGCATTTTTTTACATTATTTATTTGTCAATCTAAAGGAAAAAAAATATGAGCTTAAAGCTGATCCTTAATGTAATCCTACTGAAATTGAAATATATTGGATCAAAATGCCTTATGTTTGAAAACAGGTATACATATCCTTAACGATTTGAATATAAACATTATTAACTTCTTTCTTTTATGGAACTCTCCAAAGCACTTCTCTTGAAACCTCTCAACAAATATATAGCTACTTTCTCTAAATCAATAAATATCACATGTAGATCCTCCTTACTCTCTCTATACTTCTCCATCAAACCTCTCAACAAATTTATAGCTTCCATAGTAGAGCTTATCGGCATGAATCCAAACTGATTTTGAGAAACATTAGTATCACGTTTCTCTAAATCAATTATTCTCTCCCACAACTTCAATGCAGGACACAATAACTTAATTCCTCTATAATTCAAATACTCTTAAGTCTTGTGCATCACATTTATTCTTAAAAATATGAACCAACATACAACTTCTCCACTCATAACCATGTGAAAGAAAAAAGTTGGAACTTCTTCACATGAATATGCACGATCAAGTTGCAGTTATCCTCATAAAATCACTAGTGACAAAGCCATTAAATAAACTTAAGCATCTTCTTGAAATAAAGGATGGAAGAAATTTATGTTTATGAGGGGTATTGGAAATTAAATTTAGCTCAATTGTATTTCAAGAATTCTAAGAATTGTATAGAATTTTAAGCATCAAGTTACATTTATAAATGAACATGGTAGATGCATGCATGCAGCAAACAAGGGGTCAAGAGCATGCTATTAGTCAATCCCATCTTTGCAATGTGACAAATAGATAATTGTGCTATAAATTTTTATTTAAAGTTGTATTATAACTGGAAATCTCCATGAAGTCAGTGTATATGCATGGAATGATAAGACAAGTTATTTGGGAATGCTAAGTTTTATTTTATTTTCTTTGTGCGTTCAAGCTACTATTTCCTTGTTGGAATTTATATTAACTATCTTTTAATTTATACTAACTAGTCTAATAAAAGTTCAAACCGTATTGGTACTGAATCTTTAGTCAATGAAACAGTTATGCACATGGGAAAATTGGTTACCTATAACGAAACGCAGCACGCCTATAATCGTGTAAGCTAGCTTCAGCCATGCTATGTGCAGCTTCTTGTAACAACTAACCATTAAGGAAGCATGAACATTCAATAAAGAGCTTAGCTAAGCTGCCCAAGCCAAGACACAAAAAACTTCTTAATCAATTAGCAGCTTTCTGGCTATGGCTCGGTCAGCATAGCATTTTTCTTCAATAAATGATAGAAGCAACAAAAAGTAAAGAAAAATTTACCGTAAAAATAATAATTTTCATCATGAAATTCAGTCTTATTTGAACAAATAAAGAAGATTTTGGTATAAATAAAAGAATGTCATCCTCTTACAGCATCAACATGTACCATTTAATGCAGTTAGCATGTAAACAGAATCATTGATGCCGCAAGAAACCAGAAGAACAGGGAGCATGCTAATTTTCAGCATATTTGATAAGAAAGCTAACATAGAAGAACCTTGATTACAACAACGGAATACGTTTAACCTATCAAGTACTAGAGTCTGGCAAAAACACAGGAAAAGGTATATGGAAATACAGTAATCATGAGCAGCAATTACCTCAGCTTCTCTACCGGAACACAACCCAGATCAATATGGCATATAGGACAGGATTCTTCCTCTTCATCGTTTAGTTTATCAAAAATACATTTCCTGCAAACTGGTTCAAAGACCAAAAGAAAATATGTTAAAAAAACACTAAAAAAACTGTTGCAACAATATAACCTTCATTAACGCTTTTCTTTATAACCACACATTTAAGTCCCAAAAAACAAACGAAGTAACCAATAATTCTTATTTAATATTAACAAGAACACTAGAAAATTAAAAAAATATTTTTTTTTGGAAGCTCAATTGCAGGAATAAAAACTACAGTAAAATGATAAAAAAAAAATACAGAAATTTGGATGTTCACGAACAGAGTAAATATAGCGACAATTAAACCTTGAACTTAACTTCAATAACAAAAGCAATATTTCCAGCAAAACCAGCAATACCAGCTATCTTAAATGGACTCGTGATAGGTAAAATGGCTTGATGCAATATGATATATAAAAGAGCTCAGATCGCAAAAACAAATAAGTATGATTGATACACGTCCTAAAATTTACAACTGTACGTAAAATCATAATAAAATCGAATTTCTAAGAAACCTGTGATTGATCATATGAGATGAGAAATTCCGGGAAATAAACATGTTTGAGTAATCAATAATTCACATTTATTGTCATGAAGAAAACCGAAAATTTTTAAGAAATTTTGTTTTTGAAAACTCAGATCCAAGAATGAAGAACTACAATGGAATCATCTATAAGAAATAAATAAATAATAAACATGCATAATTTTTTCCTGGTACGAGAATCAACGCGAAAATAGTACACATTGAGACATGGCTTCAACTTAACTACTTCAATAAAAAAGCATTGATTCCAGCTAAATCAACGATCTGCCCATTCTAAATAGACACAAAACAGGAAAAAATATGCTAACTGCTCGATATAATACAAAAATACAGCCAGCCTCACCAAGTATCTTCTCTATAGAACAGATTCGACGCTAAATCGTTATGTTGGGGAGCACTCAAACGATTACTTCAAATTTAACTAATATCTAACCAGCTCATGCAGCAAGCCACAAATGCTGAGAAAGAAGAACCTCAAAAGCTTTAAAATAAATCGACAAAAACCCGTCTTTCTCATCACGAAACTTCATTCACCGAAAATCCACGTAACTACCCACAAACACTGTGAAGCCCCGGCAAACTCCCAACCCAGTCCGCTAAATCCTAACTTTCAACGATAACTGGGAAGCGTAAGCAAACTCCCAATGCCCCGATAAATTATCCCATATCAGCCCAGATCACCAAACCCAAAATATTCCACCATAATCCACGTACATCGTAAAATCAACCATAACACGTACAATCACAACGAAATCGAACGTGCAAGAAACCCAGATTTCATCATTCGAGAGTAGAAGAGGGGGCTCACACGTATGGAGACACTCGGAGATGGTGGTCGCATCCCGGATAAGCTTTTTGCAGAGAGGGCACGTCATGCAAGCCACCAACACCTCCCTCTTCACCCGCACAATCTGCGGCGGGCCGGCGACCTCCCCTCCGCCCGACATCTCACCGCTCTTCTGCATGCCAACGATCCTTGGCCGGCATTGACGTCCAAGAAAGAGGGCTACGACGAAGATCTGAGAAGAAAGAGGGTTACAGCGTGATTCAGAAGACGAGAGAGATAGCGAGAGGGAAAAGTCGAGTTAACGGAGCGAAGAAGTGTGAGGTTTTCGGCTTGTTTTTGTGCTAAAACAACGTGTGATATACTTTCGAGGATTTGGCTTGCTTTGCTTTTCCTTCCTCATAGGGACGAAGGCCGGCGATAACATGCGCTGCAATAGTCTTCGGTTCGGTTTTTTGAACCGGACTCACCTGACCATTGATCCGAGTCAGACCGATTTTGAGTATTGACTAGGGGTGTCCAAACTTGACCCGACCCGGATCCGATTTAAAAAAATTTTGGGTTCAGTTCAACCCGTTTGTCAAACAGGGTCGGATTTATGTTTCGTTTTCTAACCCATTTCTAAAATCGGGTTAAGTTTGAGTTGACCCATAAACCCGAAATCAACTCGAAAATTACCAAATCCCGTGCACCACACATCGTCACCCGGACCTGCCCCAGCATAGCACCAGTGCCCGTGCCCGCAACCTTGTGTGCAAGCTCTCACCTACTCACATGCAGGATTTCTCCCGCTCGTGCCCCCTTCACCTGCACACGCTTGCGTTCGAGCTCGATTGTCGCGCCTACTATGTTCCTGGTTAGCGGACCAATTCGATAACCGTGCTAATCGAAGCTGTGTCTGAATTTCATACCCTTTTACAAAATCGAGTTGAGTTCGAGTCAGCTGCATTTGACTTAGGTCAACTCCAAGTTCAACCCAAATCTGACCTGAATACCCATTTTGACACCACCTAATTTTGACCGCAAAATTATACATTTATTTGAATTGTTTTAATTGTTTTATTTATTATATATCCTTTTAATAATAAATTTAGGCTCATTTGGATGAATTGTTACATTAAAAATAATTTTTACAAAATCAAGTCGAGTTCGGGTCAGCTGAATTGAACTCGGGTCAACTCCGAGTTCAACCCGAATCTAACCTGAATACCCATTTTGACACCTCCTAATTTTGACTACAAAATTATGCATTTATTTGAATTATTTTAATTGTTTTATTTATTACATATCCTTTTAATAATAAATTTTTGTTACATTGAAAATAATTCTTTAAAAATAATAAAAATATTAATAAAATAAAAATTATAATTATAATTTAAAAAATAAAAATATGTCACAAAATGAAACATTAATGGTTATAAACAATTCTACTCTGATCTGTAAGAGGTTGGTTTTAAAATAATTGAAGTGATGAACTGTAATCGGAAGACCGGTGGGTCATACCATCAGCAAATCCATCACAGATATTAAATGTGCATTGCAATTTATGGAAGGTTGCTGAGTCATAAATCATAAACGCTACAAAATTCCTCATAATCAACATATAAGGACCAGAGAGCGTTGCGGATATATATTATATATGATGCAAGTTGCACGAATACCATATAGAGTAACAAAGCACTTTATCGTTGGCTCACCTAAAGTATATAGGCCAAACAAGGCAATTGAACAAGCATGCATTATGACATACACTTATAAGCTGGCTCAGTTTAGACTATCTTAATGACCAATCATAATTTTGGGTCTAATTGAGTCTTAGGGTTCGTTTGGGACGGTTTTCTTTCTTCTTCTTGAAGCAGTAAAAAAAGCTGTTCCAAACGAAGCCTTAAAGAGCCAATGAGTCAACTTTGAGGTAACTCATGTTTAACTCGCTAGCTTATGAGTCAGCTCATTTAAGAAAAGGGGGATTTAAATACATATCATTTTATTTTATGTTATTTACATATCTAACACCGAAAACATTAATATTATATGTCTAACACTCATATAAAACTTTAATAACAAATATATCACTCTTTTATTTTATTTCTACCACTCATACCACCCTATAAATTTTAATATTTCATTTCATGCACCTATATATTATTCTATGAGTGATAGACATGTAAAAATAATATTTTTGATGTTAGATATGTAAATAGTATGAAATAAAGTGGTATGTATGTAAATCCCCTTAAGAAAAATCATATAAAATAAATATAAAATGTATTAGAATTCAAAAATTGTGAGCACAAAAATTTAAAATTATATATATTTTTTGTATAAAGAGATAATTGATAAATAGTCCATAGATAAATATAAAATATAATTATCTACTCACCGAAATATTTTTTTCATTTTCATTTTTATCTTACAATTTTTTTTCCTCTTCACCTCTTTATATCTTATTACAGCTACAAAAAAAATATTTGGATCTATGGAGGGGGAATTTGGTTCTGATTTTGATGATGATTTCATACCTTCGCCGGAATTCTGTGGTGGTTCAGATCCTGGTTTTGACTTTAATCTTGTTAATGTTAGGCCTGTTTTTGTGGTTGGCTTTCGGGGCAGGGCCCGCGGTCGTGGTCGGGGTCGCCGTCGCCGTTAGTCTTTTGTTTCTGTTTTCTATGGTTTTTGGCTTTTTGTGGAGGTTGGTTCAGTCAGTTGGTTTTGCGTCGTTTTAGGGCAATGATGGGTTGGGGCACATCAGTGCGTCGTGCTTGTTGCAACCATAGCTGTGGGTTCATTTCGGGTAGCTTCGAGGTGCTATTGGATGGCCCTTGTGACGTGTTGCTGGTGTTTGCCTCAACCGCCCCTGAGCCCGCACCTTATTGCATTTTCCTTTTCTTCTTTTTTTTTCCTTCTCTATCTCTCATATTGTACTGTTCTCTTAATTTTTATTAATAGAAGTTTCTGTTTAAAAAAAAAAAAAAAAAATCTTATTACAGCTACAAACCCAAAGATGATTCCTCCATCAATTGTGTTTATCAAAGATAGAAAAATGCTTATTACCTACCATGTTGAACTATTTAATTGGCCATCTATAATTGTCACTGATTTTCCTTCAATGCTTGCCTTTTAGTGCTCTATATAGATTAAATAATAGAGAAATCTCTTTATAAGGCTCACTACACTACACTAGCCCCCTCTTTAGCCTCTGCATCTAGCAAAAAGGAGAAAGATGAGAGAGCCATTTCAAAATCATACAACTCTATAAATAATGCTTAAAGGAAATAAGTAATAAGTTTGTAAATGTTAGATAGAAAGTATTATGAGATATATAACATATCATAAATGTTATGTAAAATTTTTAGAAATACATGGCAGATATATGTGACAAATGCATGTAGTAGATTTTGACTAAGTAAACAAAATTGGTAAGATAATTAGGCTCCGCATTCATCACCCATGTACAGATGGAATTTTGGGTGTGATATCTTAAACGAGACATCTTTATATAACATCCCTTCTCTTTTCTTCATAAGGGTTGATTAATATTTTATTGCACCAATGTGCTATAGTAAAATTCTTAACTATCAAGATATTATCCGCTTCGCTTTGGTCTAAGGACCTCATGGTTTTATCCTCTTGATCGATTGAATTTATTGTGTCTCAACATTTGTGCCGATGGGGTGCATTGATCTTGTATGTGATGAAGTTCATCAATATTCTTAGAGAATATTACTAGGAAATTGTAGTTAGGAATAATGATCTTGAGACCATAATTCATTGATGTTGGACAGACAATGTTGGTTGAGTAACATAAGTCGTGCGATAGCGGTCAAATGATGATGGTTGTTGGCAATGATTGTTGACGTTAAATGTTGGGTGGACTTTAAAGTTCTTCAAAATTTTAAACTCTCTCCAATTTCAAGTCAATACCCAGGCTCTCCTAAGCTCCCTTTCATATCTAGACTGGTGGTCTCTTTATAGTTTTATTGTGCAACATTTTGATAAATTTAGCAAAAATCCCCAAAACACTTTTTTTCCATTCCTTTCATTTTTGAAAGTAAAAACACGTGATCGGTTAGTCTGTGTTAATTCTCATGATCATTGATGGTTCATTTATATTCATGTATCTTAATTTTTTTTATGTTTATTAAAAGATAAATGAATGTATTCATGTATCTTAATGACTTCAGAATTGAGTAATCTTAGGTTTGTTAGATTTCTCTCATTGAAACACTTATTTTGACTATAAGCCTGCAAGATTAAAACATCATTTGATCCTTCAATTAATATTACAAAATTTGCAATCATGCTTCAAGCACTTGATTTAAGCTCATTTGAAGTTGGGTTATATCACTTTTGGTGTTGTTGCGTTCATCTCATCAAGATGTTCAATTCAGCTATACGTTTTATTGAAATCAAAGTTCAAATCATAATGAAATTAATTTCAAAAGTTTCCAATCAAAGGATTCATCGAGATCCATATTTGATTGGATGAATCAACTATATTATGCTCAACATTTGAATTCCATCCAACACAAAACAACCCAAGATTAAACAACACATAAAAGTTCACATATTTAAACAAAATAAAAAAAAATTATCAAAAGTTAAATATAAAAACATTTGATTTATATGTATGTATGTGCATACATTAGAGAGAGCCTCCTCTTAGGCTCCAAAATTCCCTTAAGACAATCTAGTAGTTGAGTAGAACAAAAAAAAGATGAAAATTGATTCTGAATCGACTCAAAATTAGAGCTAATTTTTTAATTTAGATCAACATTATAACTCATAATAGAAAATTTAAAACCGACCACCATAAGGAATAACGAGTTAACAAACGGATCAGACTTGGATTCGGATTTCCTACATGTTTATTAAATAGGTCGCATTATGGTTGACACACAAACCCGCTTTTGACCTGTTTAATTTTTTTTTCCTTAAGTTCATTTGCTTATGAGTATAATCTTCTTCTTTTTTATCAAACAATCTAAACTTGATAAATTATAATTTTCTTAAAACTAAATCATTTTAACGTTTCGGGTTCAAGTCACTCTGATTGCTAGCGAGTCAGTTTCAAATTAATTGGATTTAGGCTGGATTAATTTCGGATCTAATCCAAACCCAATTCGTTAATCACTTTTGACATCCTTGATAAATATCAAATTTTCCTTTTATATATAAACATATATTTCAAATATTTTAATAATAATTAGTTTAATTTTTACAAATTTTAACATGTATATCATTCAATTAATTTACATGAATTTCTTCTAAAATTTATTAGATTGACACGTGGTCTCCTTGGCGTGATGCCTTTCTCAAAATAAAGTCCATTCATAATGAACGGAGAGTGACGTTTTATTATTCCGCAGGCAAAATTCTTTCACGTTGAGCTAAGTAGCAGCGACGCAAATGTAGCGTAGAAGGCATTATATCTTCTAGAAATGGCTTAACTTCTGATGATCAAAATACTATTTTCAGCACATAATTTTAATTAGATTTGCACAGTAAATTAAATTCAATTAATGAGCTAAAAGTTGATAGAAATATTTTTAAGAATAAAAATAATAACTTTTAATGGTGTCTATATAACATAAAGAGTGATTGGCTTTCTATATCATTAATTTTATGTGACAGGAAAAGATTTTTTGTGTGTAAAAAGTTTTTATATTAATGTCAAATGGTTTATGATTTGATTATGTTCGGGCCCACATTTTTAATGATAGCTCAAGTATAATTAAGGGATGTTTGGTTTACAGTAAACAGAGTGTAAACTATTTATATTAACTACATATCATTCTAAACTTACATATTTACATATATGAAATCTAAAACTTGTAAAATACACTTCCCACATCCAAAAATTCTTATTCTCTCAAATGTCACACTCTATTCCGTCTTCATGACCCTCGCGCATACCAGCTCCCAACTGTTCTCTGGTTTGCCTTCTTGTTCGTCTGTTGTCCATCGATTTCCTCAAGCTTTTTCGTCTTTTGATGAGTGAAAACGTTTGTTTCTCGTGCCCTAAACCCCACCTTAGTACTCATGCGTGAAAACGTCTGTTTCTGTTGCCCCGTAAGCAATAGAAAATTGAAGGACATCAAGCGAACAAGAAAGCAAACCTAGGAATGATTGAGAGATGACACGCGCGAGGGTCATGAAGACGGAATAGAGTGTGAGATGTGTTGGGATAAGAATTTTAGTGTGTGGGAAGCAGAGCCCTGCATTGGGTACCCATACCCACCCATACCCAATTGGTACGCCCATGTCCTTGTGGTGGGTGGGTATGGGTGGGTACTAAACATCGAGGGATAAATCGATTTACATTGCTATTCATTGCATATCTTACTTATACTATTGCAATCATCACTAAGTATTGTTTAGCACTTAACCACGCTACGAGTACGATAAATTTTGATATGCAACTTGAAAGTTTGTCATCATAGCAAATGACAACAAGCCTCAAGGCCAATCATTCCGTGGCAGACTGTGTTCAAAAAACATGAAAAGTGGGTGGGTATATGTGGGTACGAACTCCCAAAAGTCAACATGGGTGGGTATGGGTGGGCGAAGCCCGTTCGAGTAAAATATGGGTACCCAACTAGGACCTCATGTAGGGCTTTGGTGGGAAGTGTATTTATAAGTTTTAGATATTAGATATATAAATATGTAAGTTTAGAGTGTTATGCAGATAAATCTCCCTTTAAAATATAGATATTTTAAAAATATTGGTTTTTAATCTAAACTAAAAGAACCATAAAACAAAAATTTTAAAATATTTTGAATGCATAATCTAGTGTAATTTTGGTGAATTCAAATATCATTAGATTTGAGTGTTTTTTTAATACACAATAAATTTTTTTGTTATTGTTGTGTGCCACTTTAGACTTTTCATTATATTCATTTTACTTTAAGTAATATTATAAAATTAATAACCGATATTTATTTTATACTTATCCAAATAACAACAAATATTTCAAATATATTATATTACTTCCTCCCTTACATTTGCATTTCTTTTTGAAACGGTTAAAACCCCCTAATAAAATATGTAGCTAGTCTCAAACGTATAAAAACATAAATAAATATAATAAATTCATAGTGATGATGAAGGTTTAAAAAATTAGATCAGACTAGTCAGTCCAATCGTAAACCGATCATAATGCTGGTTCAGTCTTTAGGATGAAAATTGCTTATGCATCAAATCAGATTGAACTGACCAGAATTGACAGTTCAAATAAAGTTTATCCAACGGTTCACGAGCGGCCAGTTCAATTATAATATTATAAGTTCGAACCTGACCCATCCAAACCCGACCCACTTCGGGTCCAGGTCAACCCGAAGCCAACCCGCTTTGGGTATGTTTTACTAATTTTTTTATTTAATTAGATTTATTTAAACATAAATAGAATTTAGGTAAAATTTATTTCAATCAATTTAAAATAAATCAAGCATAATTTAGTTTGAGTAAAATAGTTTATTATTTTCTTGGAAATAGCATTCATTTATTTCATAATAATATTTTAAAATCCCCCTAAATCAATTGAAAATGGGTCAAATCGAGTTGATTTCAGATTTTCGGGTCAATATGAACCTGACCCGATTTTGAAATCCCTAACTCGAACCCGAACCCAAAATTTTCAAGTCGATTTTTCGGGTCGGGTCAAATATTGACAGCCCTAATAAATATATTGATACCATAAAAAGATATTTTGTGACTTCTCATGAATAACTTTGAATTTAATTAAAAAAAACAAATAAATGACTTTTTGCCAAATATAATTATGACTTTAATATCTCTCTCTATATAACTTAAAAAAAAAAGTTAAAAGAGCTCGGAAGTTTCACTTAATTCAATGACTAAATTAAATGAGCACATTTAATTCAACATTTTAAAATAAAAAATTGGATTACTAGCATTAATTTTGACTTACCTATTGAGTAAAGAAAGATTAAACGTGATCAAACAAGTTGCTTGGCAGCTTGGCAACTTGGAATAATTAAATAATTAATTAACATAATTATCAGCTTATCCAAATTATAGTGTATTAGCCTTCTAAATCCTTATTTTCGTTAATTAAAGTATTTTTTAATTAAGTTGTATATTAATAATAAATAGAAGTTAAATGATAATTATGTAATTTTTAATTACAACTAATTAAAACTTTTGTAAAGGTATTATGAGTGCAGGACTTTAGTTCTTAAAATAAATAATTAATAAAGATTCTCTTGGAATCACAGGATTGTTAAAATAACTTTTTTGTTGGTAGAATAAAAAAAATTCTCAATAAAAAAATGAAATAAAATGAAAATGAGAAAAAAAGATCTCCTCATAAAAATGTGAACAGAAGTATAAGATAATTATTCATTAATATTAAAATAATTTTAATAAGACACAATATATTTATAAATGAAAGAAAAAATATATATTTTATGCTATGTAACTGACAATACAAAAATAGATTTAAAAAAAAAAAACAAAAATAAAAATTTGTACTAGAAGTTCAAATCATTTTTTGATAGATAAATTTTAGTTCAAATCATTTTTTGATAGATAAATTTTAATTATCTTATCATTAAAATAAAATTATTTATTTATTTAAAAATAAATTTATTAATATTCTTTAAAATAAATTACAAGAAATTAAATAATAAATAATCTATTATATTGTACTTATCTTAAAATTTTTATTATGAACAAATATTAATTATTTTCCTTTTCTTTTAAAAATAGGTTATCCTTGATAAGGGTAGACTTTTTTTAAATTTAATAATTTTTTTTTGTTGACTATTGCATGAGAACTAGCCTATAGCTTCAAATGGCTTAACACAATAAGAGAACTTTTGAGATTTTTCAAAAAAAAAAAAGTGGGATTAAAAAACGTTTTTTGGACAGTTTTTTTTTTCCACAGAAATACTAAAAATCTGATCTGGTTGCGTCCTCCCACCTGACGTAGAGATGCGTCCTCCCAGAGCTAAAATCACGCTAAAAACGAGAAATACCAAGCAAATACCGAGCAATACCAAACAATAACAAGGAATATCATCATGTGAAGACCAATGCCGAGTTATACCGAGCAATACAAAAAAATACCTAGTTTTTCCTAGAGAAAACTCGGTATGTGCTCGGTATTGCTCGGTATAACTCGGTATTGGTCTTCGCATGATGATATTCCTCGTTATTATCAAATAATACCTAGCAATACCGAGCAAAAATTGAATTTTTTTACAGTGGGAGGACGCATAGGTCAGGTGTGAGGACCCAATAATTTTTCGTTAGCTAGGCTATAAAAGAAGGTATTTTGCACGCACCTTTCCTTCTATTTCTGTATCTTCGGAAAAACTATAGGGTTCTTTAGTTGCCCCTCCATTCTCCAAGCTCTTAAACATGGCGCTTTCTGTGATTCTCTTGCTATTCTCTCAGCTGCTATTGCTTCAAACTCATACCCCTTTGGCTTTACCTTCCACTCTACAAGGTTTGATCATAATAATATTTCTATGCATCATCGCAGTGTAAATATCTAATTGTTTGTATAGATTTTCTCGTCCTGAAATTTATTGGAGCTGGTTCTGAAGCCTCCAAATGATCGGATTTTTCTTAATAAAAGAATTGATGTGATGGAGTTTTTTTTTTTTTTTTTTTTTTTTTAAATCAGCAAATCATTTTGTAATCTTTATGGTTTCTGATTGTTTTTTCTTTCTTTTTTCTGAAAATCAAGAGGGCAAATCTACCATCGCTGAATCCCCCTTTTATTTTATTCTATCTAGAAGTTATTCAAATAAAGCTTTTACATGATCTATTAGGTTAATAACCTACTGCCCAAATTATTTCTTTGGAGTGAAAGAGGAGCTTGACCATCTACTAAACATTCACTCTTCATCACTTGGAGGATATCTCTGTTCCAACAAAATTTATTTCATTTTATAATCTTCTCTAAGACTCCACTTTCCTATGGATCTGAATCAGTAAGTGCTTTTGAGTCTCTCTTGAGAGTAATTCCCTTCTCATATGCCAAACACAGAACACTCTAATTTTTCTAATAGAAAAGTATTTCTTTGTGGAAAGATGAGACTTTGACTGACTTGTTAGGGACTTGTTTATATTCTTTTTTGTTTAGTTTTATTTTTTTATTTTCTGTTTGTAAAGACAGAGACTTGAACAGAGAAGACTGGTTTGATAACTTGTTTTAAATCCTTATTTTTGGAAACAACATGACCTGTTTCTGGAAATTCTGTCTTCACATGTTTTTCTAGACATGTCTATGATTGTTTCAATTAATTTCAATCAATTAAGTTTCGATTAATTAATGATCATGATGTTATCTTTAATTAATTAAAGCTTAAATAATATTTATTTGTAAATTTAATTATGATAATTAAATATATTACTGATTATTATGGTTTTCGTTCTTGATTGCCAAGTGGATTTCTGTAAGATAAGTTAAATATGTTTTTGTTTTAAGTGAATAATTATAAGAATTTGTGATATCTTTATATCAAAATCATTATTTTTGATATTAACAACAATAACAACATCAATCCTTTGCTCCATTACGTTGGGTCAGCCACATGAATCCTTTTTCTCCATTGTGTCATGTTCTCATGTTATGATTATTCGATAAATTTTATGCTGGCTGTCGACTACCTAACGCAATCCTCCACTTTTCTCATCCAAGACTTGGGACCGGCAAGATAAAATCTTTTTAATGTGCATTAAGCCATCATCATCATCATCATCATCATCATTAGCTTTCTTCTAAATATTTGAGGATCATATTATCAGGCCCAGTTCTTAGTTTGTTCTTACTGCGTGGTAATTTCAGTGCTCATTCAAATTGAGCAAGTTTTTTTAACCAATTGTAGCAAATTATCTTTGATCCATCATTTCTCATTTTGAATAAGATGGAGTTAGAAATATTTCTTATATTTTTTTGATTCTTTTGCACACTTAGACTTCGTTTGGGACGGCTTTTTTATTGCTTCTTGAAGCAGCTTTTTAGTATAAAAATTATATTTTTTGTACTAGAAAGCTGCTTCAACAAGCAATAAGAAAGTCATCCCAAACGAAGCCTTAGTCACCTAAGTCTGTACTTCATAATAAATTTTATTATACAAACCCAAACAGTTAAGGTGGATTACCATACAAGAAACTTGTGAACAGATTGAGCTCATACATAAATGAAGCTTTTGGAGTCCTTAACTGCATTCAAACTAGAAAAAATAGTTATCATACAATGATTTCACTTCACATCCAATCTGATAACTATTTGGCAAGTCTGATTTGAATAATGATGCAGGTAATGAAGAACTCAATGCTCTCGGTCGTCCGCATAACAAAGTCTTCCATCCATCATCTAATTCCTGCATCTTTAGGCATTATCAAGATCCGTTGACGCTTGCGCCCTGCGAACAATGTGATTCCTGGAATTACACTCCACAGAAGTTCTTGGAAGTGGTAGGAACTTATTACTGCCTGAAAGCAGTTGGAGCTTCTCTTCCTGCCAAGCTTAGTATTTCATGCGATGTCTCGGATTCCCAATGGACTCCATTATCTGGATCACAGACCACTCATCTTTCGACGCAGCTTGAGGATGGAACTGTTCTTTGCTTGGATGTTGATGATGAAAACAACATAGTCACCAACCCTTGCAGAAGTTTCAGCAGTGATGCCAAAGCTGCTAATGGTGACAGCCAGTGGTTTCAGATTAGTACATTCAGTTACAATAAGGATTAGGGGATAAATATAGTGTTCATTATTATGTATTTTAAGTATTAACTGAGCACTCGCTGATAATTACCATGTAAATTCACAATGTAAATTCACAGCTTTTAGAATGTTATAAGTATGTTTGATGAATAAATGTCTTTCTATGGAACAGTTGTAAAAGTTTTTGCCATCTTTCTCGTCTCTTAGTTGATTGCCTGGAAATTTTGTTTAGTGCAAGCACTGCAGGAGATTGAGATGTGTTTGAAGCTTCTGAATGGATTACAAAATTGTAACGCATATCAACGTTTTAATGTGAGAAAATTGAAAAAAAGGGGAAAAAGCTAATAGATATGCTATAGTTGAAATGATCCAACATATAAGTTTATAAATGCACACTTTACCTCAATTGGAGATGATACAACAACATCAAGCTTTTGTCCCACTGTGTGGGGTTGGTTACATGAATTCTTTTTCGTCATCGTGTCCGGTTAAAAGTCAAATTCTCATTTAAATCTAATAAAGAAAGATCATTTATAATATTTTCTAACCAAATCTTTTTAGGTCTACCTCTACCTTTCTTAAAATAAGTCGAATCTAATGTCTCAACTTTCCTAACCAGGTCATCGTAAGGCCTCCATTTAATGTGACCAAACCATCTAAGACAACTCTCTCTATTCTTATCCTCCATTGGAGCTACTCCAACCTTTTCATGTATATGATCATTTCATATCATATCTCTAAGGGTCAAGCCTCTCATCCACCTAAGCATCCTCATCTCTGCAACACTTAACTTAATATTATGCTTCTCAGCTTTTAATAGCCAACATTCGGCACCATAAAACATTGCAGGTCTCAATTGGAGATGATATGATTACAAAATTGGGAACACTAATTTTGTCTCGTGTGATTGTTGTAAGGATTGCTTGAGAATTGTTGAACTTTTTAAAGTAGGCTTGACGCAAATCAAACAATGCAAATTCATTGGTAGATAGCATTTTCTCTTCTCGCCTTGTTGCTCTGCAAGGATTTTTTGGTGAGTTTTCTGTCACCTTGTTGGATCCCCAACATGTTTTGATAAAATTGAATTGCAATATAGATTATTGTAGAGTTTTTTATCACCGTTCCTACATTGTTGGTAATTGTTTTATGAAATTAATCAAGTGGTCACCATTTTTTGATATTACTGCGGAATCCCCCATTGTTCTGATTTGGGTATCTTTCCCGAACCTTCGCCCACATTTTTTTCTCACCTCGTATCCTCCCTTTTTAGTCACCCCCTTCATACCGATATTGTCACTGTGGCGGACTCTCGTCCATCAATTGCTAGAATGTTGTTGGAGCACGACATTACAAAACGACATCCTGTGATAGTGTTTAGATAGGTCTTGAAAATTTTGATTATATTAAAAGCATCTTGATGGATGATTTTCCATCCTTTTATGAGCATTATAAATTTTTAGGTCATCCCAAAAAAGAATGTGTTAGCCTTCATCACCACTTAGTTAAGGAACATGCTAGTATTGTCATTCCTAGGGATAAGATTGCTAAAGAAATAAATTGTTCAAATCCTATTTTTTAATACTCTTCCCCCGGATACATCTCCTTGTGTTGTTAACAATGTGCATATTGTTAGTGGTATGCTTAATTCTCTAACTCTTGCCCCTATTATTACGATGGATGAGAACATCCTTATGGACAAAATTGTTGTTTTTGATAGAGTGGATGAGAATAGGGCTGAGGATAATGCTTCTTTAGCTGTTGGTCAAAAAAATGGCGATAATCTTGACATTATGTCTGTGAATCATATGTTGAATAATGTTGGTAATGTGGCAGATTTATGTACTGCTAATGATTATTTGGTTGCTGAGGTTATTACCAATACTAAGGAAGTTTTACATGCAACTCTTACTTCCAATTGCTTAACTAAATATCCTACTATTTCTCCTATTTTAAGTTTCAATGTGGTCGCTGGTGGTGATATTGTGTTGTCTAAACAAGGGTCTCATCACATTGCCTATTTTGTTGATGCTACTAATGGTATAGATGGTTTTATTACTCTGCCTTTTAATGGGGATTCTAATGTGAATCCACTTGACTACTCTTACTAGTTAATCCCATACAATCTATCAGTTAAAAATTCTGGGGAGGCTAATTAGGATGTTAGTAATGCTTCCCATGAGAATTATGATATAATGTGGTGCAAGTTGGTAATGATAATTTTGCTAAAGTTGTTGGCAAGAAAAAAAGAAAAATATATATAAAAATGTGGTGCAAGATTTTCAACTTTCTGAAGGAAGACATAAGAGATCTAAAACTCATAAATTTTGTTGCTAATAGTGGTTTTCTTTTGTGGTTGCTTTGTTGTGGTTGCTTTTTTCTGGTGGGGTGTTAGTTGAGGATTTGGTGGGTTGCTGATGGTTGTTTCTCAGGTTGGCTGGTTGGGCCCTTTCTTCTGCCTATTTATGGTGATTGGATTTGTTGTGATTGGAGGGTTGTTATTGTGGATTCCTTGCCTTCTCCCGGTGTTGTTTTCCTGCTTCTATTGCCTTATTATTTTTCTAGTTGCTTATAGGGAATTTGTTGTTGGTGTTGTCTCCAGGTTATATATGAGCTTGTGTTCAGATGTTTGTGAAGCTTTTACTATCTCTCTAGCTGTGTTATTGCTCTTCTTCTAGGAGTCTTTGGTTGTCTCTTCTTATAACTCCCTAAAATCAAATTTGAAAAAATTGTTGATTTATCATTTTAAGAATATATCAGAACCTCTTTAAAACATCAATATAAATAATAACCAGCAAAAGCAACTAAATTCATATACATCAAGATATTTTACTATTCATTCAACAAAATATCATTTATACTAGCCAGAAGATCACTAAAATCACTAATATATCACAAGCTCCTAACTATTAAAAAATAAAAAAATGCAGAACAAAATCTAAAGAAAATTTGAAGATATTTGCCAACCTCACTCCAACTAATCCTAACACATTCTCTGACCTGAAATCATTAAAAATCTATATAATGAGCTCAAAAGCCAAGCAATAATTCAAAACTCACTAAGGCTTTTAATGCAATGGCTAAAAAATTAATATGATATACTCAGTCTAATATAATCAATAATTTATATAAAATTCAATAAATCAATAAAATTATGATATAAAAATCATTCATAAATCACTAAAGGAATCTATCTTATATATTCATATAAATCATTTATTTATGTATTATCAATGCATCAAATGTTATCAATGATATTAATGTATATGTTAATGTTATCAGTGCTTTCAATATATGCATGCATCAATGCATATTTAGCAAGGTAGGACATCCAACTTTAATGTTTTGTTTTCAACATCTTTTATTCCAACTGATTCTCAATTAGTCATCAGTTATATCACTTATCACTTTTCCAATTAATTAATTATCACATTTAATTAATCTAATATCATTATAGGTGACTTCTTTGAATCAATAAAGAGCCATCAATCTCTACCCATCGGCGTAATCAGTCATTTGTTACAGGCTACAACTAGAAAAACACCACAAACCATCTCTAAAGAAAAGTCCATTGACCCACCCTCTTGCGTAGAGTATTATATTTTAACAGCCAACCTATTTTATAGTGTTAACATTGAATCTTTCTTACTTATATAAATATCACAATCAAAATGCAGCAGGAAATAATCAATTATGTTCGTTACAAAAAAATCTATATAATAATCAAAATCATTATAAACTAAAATAAGATTTTATTTACTTATAATAAATAAAAAATATCTTTAATAAAATTGACAGATGAAAAAGCCTTGAACAACCTTCTCTCTCTTCTCTCTCATCTCTTCGACAATGTACGATGCTACAATTCAAAATTTTCATTTTTTTTTTGGATTATTACACTTCTCTATTCTGGTTTTCCTCAGTTGGGCTTCTTGTTGACTTTGTGGTTTTCTTGATTTTCTTTTTATTTGCGGTATTGTTATATTAGTTGGATTATAGGCTCATTTTTACTTTAAATGCTATATTTTTAGAGAGCTCTTATTCCCTTAAGGACTTGTAACCGTTTTATTTTTATTAACGCGTAGGTAATTCGTAGGTTTTAGTCAAAAAAATAATAAGAAGAAGAATTGCTTGAGAAGCAATAGAGAGTGATGATTGTGATAAATGGTAGTTAATGGTGGTGGTTATCAGTGTCATTCGTCATACATAGATTCATAATTCTTCATAGTTTTAAATATTATATTAAGATTCTTGTTTTGTCAAATGAGTTTTTTGATGGCATATTATATATGATAGAATATTTATCAATATAAGAGAATAGTGTGTTTATTATCTTCTAAAAATAGCAATTTCATATGAATATTATTTAAATTATTAGTTTAGCAAATAAGTATATATATATATATATATATAT